GATGATTCAAATAATATGCGCGCATTTTTGCTTTATTACATAATTGTTTGGTTTCTTAATATATTATTTATTGATCAGTATTATAACAAAAGCGCTCAACTGGCTCAGTGGAAAGGGACGTGTCTGGCAATTGTTGGGACCTGGGTTCGATTCCCAGGTCCACCCAATCTCAATATTATTTTTCATAACATCTTCCTGTGCAGGCTTTGCAATGAGGTCCACCATATACCTCTAGGCATCATCATGCCATGTGTCCCAATCAGCAATCTGAAGGCCAAGAAAGGGGGACTACCATGCTCCTCAGTCAACTACGCCATGGACAATTCAAAAAGTCAAACGTGGCTTGTGTGTTAATGGGCCTGAATTCCAGAACAACACCTCCCTTGGGCCATCAAACCCCCCTGGTTTACTACTTTTTATTATTTATTTTCTTTCTCTTTTTTAATTCTTTTTACTAATTATTATTATTATTATTATTATTAACTAATAAACTAATTTTTCATAATAAACTCAGATAATATAAAAATTATAAATATTTTTATTATTTATTATGTTTACTATCAATTCTTATTTTTGTAAATAAAATACTAACCAATTGATTCAGTTTAATTAGGTAATTTTAATTTCTTTTTCTCAATAAATAAAAATTATGTAGAATTAGGGTTTGGCATTTTCAATCATATTTTATTAATTATCATTATTCTTATTTATTAATTATTATCTTTGTAAATAAAATGTAAATTAATTAATTTAGTTAATTAGGTTAACTTTGACATTTTTTGTTAATAATTAAAATAAACTTAGAACTAGGGTTTTCTTGACTTTTAATTTCCTTTTTCTTTTTATTTTCATAAATATAAACACACAAAAAAAACATTTTTCTTGTAAATAATTAAATAATTAATTAGAAAATTAGGGTTAATTAAATGCAAAAGGACAAAAAACTCATATTTTTTCAAAAGGGTCAAAACCCTAAGGACGTCCCGATTAAATTTCTTTCCGTATTATTTTTATTTTGATTATTTATGTAACTGTTTCCGGAATGTAATAGTAATTAGGTTTACCGCTTTCTTTTACTTTCCGCACTTTATTTCAAAACGTGTTTTTGTTTTTGGCGATGTATAGACCCGCGCCTTGTAATAGCGTAGAATTTACATTTCCGCACTTTAATTTTCCGCACTCCTAACTGTTAATTATGCCTGCAAGACTGTATGTAAAATAAAATCAATCGTAGCTTACAAATGATATGTACAAGATAAACATTAACTGAAAAAAAACACACAAGCACATGCCACTCTTAGGGTACGCCTCATTGGTTGCCTCGAACGTGGTCATCAAGTATAGGGTGTCTTAGAGGTCGCCCTCCTGTCTAAAGATCCAGTCGCCTCGAAACGGTTGCCTCGGATATAAAGGATCTAGGACACTAGGGTTACTTCTAAGGTGTCCTACTATTGCTTCGGTGACCACACTGTCCCTATAATCGAATTGACCCGAATACCTCCAACGACGGTGCTACCTACCTCTCAATGGTGGGATAGCACTATCTTAAGGACTCTTACACAGCCTAATTCCTTAGAGTAGGTAGATTCTCATAGGTACTTGCTCTTTTCAAACAAACAAAACATCTTTTCACACTGACACTTTCTAAAAGTTTTTTCAAACAAATTTTTCATACACTCTTGAGGACAGATACAAGAGTCACTTAGAAATTTTTCAAACGAAACTTTTTTCAAAACCCACAAACACTTGAAAAGCAAACAAATTTTGAAAACATAAGAGCAAGTACCTAAGAGCCCATGGATAGAAAGGGTGCTAACACCTTCCCTTTCTATAATCTACCTCCCGAACCGAGAGAAATCTCAAAGAAGGAATTTTGATGTGCTTTTGTCCTTTCCATGTTGGAGAACATAAAAGACGGTGGCGACTCTTGCTTACCGCGACATACGCGATCCAGCTTTAAACAGTCAGTTCTATTTCCACCCATCACAGAACTGGCGACTCTGCTGGGGAATATTTAAAGTGAGGTGTACCTTAGGATTAGATCATACTTATGTTTTCAATTTCCTATTTTGATTGCTTTAATATTGTGGGCCTGTTTTGGGAGTTTCATAGATCCTAACCCAGATCTGGGGGATACCTTTTAGGTAGCAACAAACTGTGAGGGAACTGTGCGGGGTATACCGACACGGTTGAAGCAGTTGCTACATTGATGTGGAACTTTGGTGAGTACCGGTAACCCTTAAGTCAAGTCAAGGAGAGTACGGGGCCGCCGCGTGGTGTCATGAAGCATCAACTGACCTTAGGAGCCTTACTTGACCATCCTGGCCTCTTTAGGGGTAGTGAGATGACCGACTTTGGTGCAGTCCGAAGTTGGTAGATACTCGATACTACACTCATTGAGGGTTGTTTTCTTGGAATATTTTGATCGCCAGTCCAGTGGCTAAATCAAAACAATGAACACAGAAAACAACCCAATGATATTGGGATCCTTAGAACCCGGTTACTTTTGATAGGACAGGTTTTGAGCCCACCAACTTCAAGAGGGTAGTACCCCAAATTTATGCTGGCCTAAACTCTAAGGGTTATGGTGTGACTTGTGTGCCTTATCATGTTTTCCTTTTGTGAATACTCGTGGTGTGTTTTTATCATAACATCATAGCATCATACAACATCATATGCATCCACTAACCACTTCAGGGGTTCGAATCTTCATCTTTGTTCTTGTTTTGTAGGACATGGAAACTATCAGCAGAAAGACAATTCAGGTCAACCTTGTAAGGATCCCCCTAAGCTTAAGGAGCTTACATCCAGGATTCCCGAGAACTCTTCCTTCAGTGAAAGGCATGGTAGACTCATCAGCTTGGTCAACACCAACATTGAAGAGGATATGGTGAAAGTGTTGTTCCAGTTCTTTGACCCCTTGCACCACTGTTTTACTTTCCTGGATTATCAATTGGTGCCTACTTTGGAAGAGTTTTCTCAGCTTCTGAAGATTCCTATCCTTAGTCAACTACCCTACAACGGTACGGAAAGAGAACCAAAACTTGAAGAGGTTGCTAAAGCATTACGCCTACAACCATCTGACATCAAGGGACATTGGGAAGTTAGAAGTGGTATCAAAGGATTCTTAGCAAAGTTCCTGTTTGAGAAGGCCCAAGAATGTTGGAATTCCCTTGACCTACAAGCCTTTGAAGAAGTTGTGGCACTCCTTGTCTATGGGTTGGTGTTGTTCCAGAATCCGGATCAGCTTATAGATATCAATGCCGTCAAGATCTTCATGTCCAGGAATCCTATACCTATGTTGCTTGGGGACATCTGTTGTACCCCAATTTTTGACCTAAGATACCACTTTTATTTTTGCATTTTTTTAAGATAAGTCAAGGTCACGAAATACGGTTGGTTTTAACCTCTCACCTTCGAGCTCTGGCTATGCGAAGATCGTTAAGTGTTTTGAACATCTTTAGCATATGTATCACTAATTTCTAATCGCATACAAAGGTGTATGTTCATGTTTTCTTTTGCTTCATGTGCAGAGACAGGTCTGAATCAAGAGCATCAGGTGTCGCGCCTCAATTAAGGTTTTGAGTCTCCTAAGCCCGAAGTACGGTTGATTATGGATTCTCGAAGACTGATTCATCAAGGAACAACTGTTGCACCCTAAAGTTCGCCCCTAATATGTTTTAGTCGCACTTTCATATCATATTTTGTTATTTGGTCACAATCATTAGTAAATATTTTCATTCATCATATTTTGCATCATTAGTCGTATTTAAGTTGACCAGAAAAGTCAGTTTAAATCAAAGTTTGCATCGTCTTTTAGTTAAAAAAATACTTGACATTTCACTTCATGCATTTTTATCTCTTTACTCGTTTCTTGCATTGCTCCAAGTTGTTTGTATGTTGATAATAAAAATATTTTGGTTTTATAGACAAACTGTTAAAAACGATTCAACAATGTGCGAAAATTAGTGAGAAAAATATTTCAAGTTTTCGCCTTTTACTGATCATTTTATGAATCTGCGTTTCGCGTAGATTATGACGGTATGCTCGCTTTATTTTTTCGGTACAGTTCGAAGTCTCGTTTTTAACCTTAAACGTCTGTTTAGTCTGATATTTTTATCATTATTATTTTTGATTTTTGACTTCTTGAATATTTTTTCTTTAATCTTTGTGACATGTAGATTATTTTAATGTGTTCATTTTATTTTTTCGGATAAATTTTCGTCCGTTTTTTATCATTTTCGGTCACTTTGGGTCTTTATTTTTTATTCATAGAATATTCAAAAAAATCATTTTAAATTGAGTTATATTTTATAATTTCAGGTTTTTATTTTATTTTTATCATTTAAGGGTGTTTTTGTCATAAAAAATATTAAATGCACTATACTTGATTTTTATTGGTTGTTGACAATATTTGGGGATTAATGCGTATTGAATAATTTTGAACGATTGTGATTAATTGTGAAATCAAATTCTGTTTTTTCATTTTTTCTATATATAGCTTATTGGAACAGGATACCTATCTCTGGGTCTACTCCATAAAACAAGAACAAAAAGCAAACAGTGACCCTTTACTCTCAATTCATTTCCCTCTCTCTCTACGCATAATCCCTCATCTCTCTTTCTCACAACTCCCCCACACTTTTCCTATTAAAACCACAATCAAACCAAACCACTCTTTCATCTTCTAAGCATCAAACCTAAAATGGAAAAACAAAACAAATCCAATTCAAAACAACAATGGAGACCCGACCCATTTCACTCCAACAACAACATGAAACAATCCCATAACAAATACCTTCATCTTCATCCGAAACAGATCCAAATCCGGCCGCACCTTTTTCTCGCCGGAGAACTGCAACTGCGCAGAAAACAGCCGCACGCAGCGCCTGCGTACCAACATCTACAAACCACCACTAACAACCTTCATCACCATCTCCTTGTTCAAACACCCACTTGCTTCATCCACCATTAACAATAATCACACAGAATTTTCAAATATGAATGAGAACATGAAGCATTTTCAAAAGAAATTGACAGAATTGGAACTCGAAGCTGAACATCTTCTTTTAGCCCGACATCAGCTGGTTGAGAATGATAAGTTGAGGAATGGGAACATAGAAGCACTTACTGCATTAATGAAAAAGGCTCGGACAACAACGAGTAGTGTTCCATCTCCTTTTGGATCAATAATGAAGGGAGTTTCAAGACCTTTGGTGCAAGAGGTGTGTACCACCTGTGGTAACCATGATTCTTTTGAGCAGACGTGGACAATATTTCCAGGAACTGATCTGTTTGTTGGAATTCCATTTCATGCTGCTCATACTATATTGGAAACAGATCAAACTCAGCTTGACTTTGAGGCAAAGAAACTACAGAACCTATGTCCTTTCCGCAAGCTGCACACCATCCCCACCGTGGCCTTTCCATCACACGCCTTCTTCAATGCAGCGAGGCATAATCTCTCAGTGGCGGCTCTTCTTCTCGGCGCTGATTCTAGCTAGAAAACAGCATGGTTCAAGCTTCTTATCATCGCTTCTGTTCGATTTCACGGTGGACACCTTCGATCGTTGTCTCCATTCGTTTGACTCATCATCCGCTTCTCCTTCCGCTTTCAATTCACTATTTTCGCTCAAGCCTCCATAGAAGCACAACTTCATCATTCAATATCATCTCAGAATATCATCTTAGATTCGAATCTTAACCTTCTTCAAGCTCCTTCTCCGACTCAACACTCTTCCGGTTCCATGTTCAACCTCCGCACTCAGTCGACCCTCTTCTGCCGTCGAACCACCACGTAACCCGTCATCCCTTCATTTTCGGCCTTCACACTCTGTCAAAACAACAACCGCAACCTCTTTTTCTTCTACTTCCAACACCCGGCTCCCTCTGCTCGCGTCGAATCTCAGCGTTCATGTTTCGTGCAAACACACAGCTCACGTTATCTGAACTGTGATTCCTTCTGTGTTGTTTCGATCCATGGAAAGCAACGATGAAGAACAGGTGTATGCTGAGTATCTGGAGCGATCTCGTAACCTAAGTCGATTCGATGCTATCGAACCTCCACCATATATATGCGGCGGTATCAGCCCCCTTCACATAGCCAACGAAGTTCACGGCGATCTCATTCCCCTCTGCGAGTTTGCGTTACACAAGTACAACACTGAACAGGGTACCGATTTTGTGTTTCTTCACATTCTCAAGTCAACCCATCAATATGTTTCTGGTACTAATTATTTCATCACCTTTCAAGCTAAATCTCCATATACCCTCCTCTTTTACTGTTTGCTACACTTTTCTTAATTACTTTATTTTATCTATTGTTACTAATTTATTTTTGTTTTCTTTTAGTTTTATTAGTTAATTGATTAGATAATAATGTAGTTTAGCTTTAGACTTAGTAATATTTAGAATTAACTTAATTATTCTTATAATTTTAATAATTGTTTAATCTTTAGTTAACAATTTTATATATTTTGTTTAGTTGTTTTTTTTTAATGATTTTTCACATGCATTCATGCAATTGCATTTCAATTTCATACTCTGTGATTACTAACATAGACTTTTATAGTTGTAATTTCCTTCATTTTATTTCATACCGCTTATGCTATTGACGAGTTTGTTTATTGTGAAGGTTTTCGATAATTGTTTCAAGCAATTCATTCTCATAGCGCATCAATAACTCTTACACTTCTCCCTTTTACCTTTTATTTTATTTTATTTTACTATTCTGATTTAATATTTGGTACTGTAAATATATACTTACACATAATATTTTGACTGTATATTTTACTTGTAAATAAATTCAGGTTTTGAAAATATTATTTTCATCGCATTGTGATTTTATTTTTAATTCCAACTAACTTTTGAAAATTGTGCGGACGCACATAAGTTTCCCATGCTGTTAGATTTCGTCGGTATATCTCTTGTGATGCAGGGATTCTTATCTGAAACCGTGAGCTTTATCCACCGCCTTTGCGCTTTATCTGATGCTTGGAGTATTATCTCACGTTAGGTTTTTTTGATGATGCTGTCGGCTTGTGATTTATTTTCACCTAAGGTTTGATATACTCTTAGCTTATTTATCCGTCTGTGGTTTTAAATCCAAGGGAAATGTTTCAACTCAGCTGACTTCATGTCATCAAATACGTCTTCTACAATCGTGCGAATAGCCTCATTCATTTTTTGCTTGTTTACTATTTTTCCAAACTTAGGATAATTTTCCCAAAAGATTCCATTTTCAAACTCATACCTTTTAAGTCAAAACTTCGACATTAGGTTATCACATCTTCAAAATCTCGCCAACACTTATTTTTAACCAAACGAACCATTTTAATCAAACAAACAATTTTAACCAAAAAACAGATATTTCAAAAGGTTCCTGCGGAGTACCGCAGATGCATTGGGTGCTAATACCTTCCCATTGTATAACCAACCCCCGAACACTCGATCTCTTTTTAAAAAACGCATTGTATTTTCATTACTTTTAAATATTACTTTACATTGCATATTTTAGGGTTTTATTTCGCTCTTTTCCCTTTTCCCTTGGAAATAATAAAGCGCGGTGGCGACTCTTGCTTTTGTGAGTCAAGTTAATTAAATAACTTGATCTTCGATTTTCACCGCTACAGAATTGGCGACTCTGCTGGGGAAAGATTGACCTCTTGCTGGTCCATCCCTAAGTGGGTTAAGCCTAATTTGTTTTATCTATTTTATCATTATTTGATTTTTTGATTATATGTATATATTATGATTATTTGGGTGTTGATAATATTTACAAAGGACAAGTCCTATACCCGGACTAATTTACACTTAGGAATAGGACGGGCGGTATAGTCATGTTAACTTTGAGGGAGTAATCCCGAAGAAGGAGGCATGAGATCCCCCACTCAGTGGAAGGCCCTTTTGAACGTAATATTTGTTTACCGAGTAATCGAGAAGACATTATTATTTTCGACCTGGGAGCCAGAGAAGCTGGGAACCGTAGAACCCTAACCCATCTTGGCCTTTTAGGTGTAGCGCAGAGATTATAATAGAGTAATCCGGAAGTAATTGTTACGCGATGCTACGCTCGGATGAGTTTCTCTTGAGAATATTGCTGATTATTGAGTAATCAAGACGTTGGTAATATCCGAAGGAGGAATGTAGACTCAGGGAACTCTTAGAACCTTGTCTTGCAGGTGTGATTAAACCGTTAGTACATACCTTGGGGATGTTCTTTACCTTTGACTCCATGCTCGTGACGTTGAAACTTTCAACTTTATTTGTGACCTTGCTTGTGGTTGTTGCATAGCCATGCGTTCATGCATCCATAAAACCCTTTTCACTTGACTTTCAAGGAATTTGGAGGTCTTTCTTTGTAAACATCACAAGTTTCGTCAAGCTCAATGGATCTTGGGTGTTGATAGGGCGAAAACCCTAATCCACCAAAATGGATGATTGATCTTGACGATAACTTGATCAACGTTTGGAGCCAATTTAAAATTCATCTTCTATCTTCATACTTGGATGTTTACAACTTAATATCTTGAGTTCCTTGAAAAATCAAATAAAAATTCTCTTTTGCATATCATACATCATTCTACATTTTTTTTGTTTCACTTTCAAAGGTCTTTTTTCGAGTCTTATTTTTCCTTTGGTCTCACCAGTACAACACTGACGCTAAGAGAACAATGGAGAATATCAAGCAAGAGATTTCTGAACTCCGCAGAGAGGTGACTAATTTGAAAGCTGGTATGGATCACTCAACTGTTTTGGTTGAAATTTTGGTTGCCGCCCAAGTCTATCCTTCTAGGAGGGACGAAGCGATGATAAAAGTCTTCACTGAAACTCTAAAATCATTCTCTCATGAGAAGGTGATGGTTAATGCACCTAATGACTTTCCTGACAAGGTGAATGTGGGAGTGCGTCTAGAAGAAGATGTTGGGAAGGGATGTTCATATGAAGATGGTAGCTCAACTAATGGTGTGAAGAAGTTTGATAATAACTTTTCCAAGAAGAGAACCAGAGGAAGAAATAATCATTGTCAGAATCATCATGTTTCTCCTATTCATCAACAGAATCAACAAGTTACTAATCAGAGGAAAACCCAGTTTGATCCAATTCCAATTACCTATACAGAGTTGTTCCCTATCCTGATGCAGAGGAATTTGGTTCAGACCTGACCTCCACCGAAGGTTTCTGAGAAGATACTTTGGTACTACAAAGTTGATTTGGCTTGTACTTTTCATCAAGGTGCTCCTGGGCATGACTTGGAGAGTTGCTTTGCTTTGAAGATTGAGGTTCAGAAGTTGGTCAGAAGTGGTATCTTGTCATTCAAGGACGTTGGTTTTGAAGTTCAAATCAAACATGCGCCGAAGAGTAAACACGATTGATGGTGACTTTGATTTTTGAAGGATGTTTTCGGTAATTCAAGTCCAGATGGAAAGCCTCCCCAGATTATTAACTTATTTCTGCTTTTTGTAATTTTTCTTGTTTATCAAAACATTGTTTGCATGTAAGAACTTGTTTGCATTTGAATGATTATCTTAATACAATGAGCATGTTTGTCTTGAAGAAATTCATTCGTTTCACTCATATTTGTTTTCAAATTTTAAATTGATTTTTGCATTATGATACTAACTTGTTGCCCAGTCTCTTGCCTAGGCAGAGATTGAAGGGAGGATGATGATCTAAAGAACACAAAATCTCTGGTTGCATGCTTTTGGATAAAATCTTGCTGATGATGTACAGGCATTGTTTCAAATCCCTAAACACTAGAGATATAAGGAAGATAATCCCTTGCTAACCCCTTTTGAGCCTTTGAAGCAGAAGTTTCTTTTCTATATGAAAAAACCTTGAATTTTAACCTGGGGCAGGGTAGTTTTTAGTTAATCTGACTGAGTGTTCAAAATTCATAAGGAAGATGTTTTTTGAAAAGAAACTACGAGGGCTATCCTTCATGTATAATGAATCTAGAGGATGTGGAACCACAATGTTATCCCTCATTCATCAAGAAACGAGGCAATCACAATCTTCTCAACAAGCAAATACAAGCTAATGTCACACATTTTGTTCAAAAAGTCAAAAATCGAGAAAAAGAAAAGGCCTGCTAAGTCAAAAAACATGAAAACGTGTGACTTAGGAAAAATTAAGGCATCTCGCTGGACTATCAATTCAAAAGAATTAGTTCAGGCAAAAGTTAGGGAAAATAAAAATTGCAAAGAAAAGTCCTCAGCAAAGAACAAATTGGTGACTACAAACACGAAGACATGAGGGTGGTTTCTACTCCGAAAGCCTCGTCGTTTCCTTGACCGTCACAAAATCCTTTTGAGAGATGAACACTCATGTTTGAATTAACTGAACATAGGGTTGGAGAACATCATGAAGAATGGGTGGGCACCAAATATTTTGAGCCTTAAAATCTTTTTTCTAAAAAACCGTGAACCAGGCCACGTTACAACCTTCAAAAGTCCTAATTGAAGCAAGGTTATTTTGAAAGCATACTTCAATGAGATAGTGTTCC